TATATATATATAGCTCAGACACCAACATTATTACCAGAATGAGTATTTTTTTCAGAGAGGGATAAATAAAAACAGGTATTCAACATCTGAATTTACCAAAACACAAACCAGCAGAGCAACAGAAGTCAAGTTCTAGAATAAAACAGAAATAAAGTGAAGCTAAAAGCAAAAAAATAGGTCCTTAAATCATTTCCACCCACTCAGAAAGGTCCTGTGAAGAGAGTCGTTTTGCTTCATTTATTGCCGACTCTGCACGATATAGAGCTGCACTTCCTCCGTTATACGGGGTGTTAGAGAGCCTGAGGCGTCCTCCTGTGGCAGCCTGTAAACTTTTCTGACAACTATTTGAACCTGATCTAGCTCAGAGGGTCTTTGCCCCTCTACAGGAACTCAGCCCGCTCCTGTGTGCAGCGCATGCACATACAGTATAGTATCTGCAGGGCCGGATCTAGCCAATTTGGTGCCCCAGGCAAGAATTCAGGTGGTGCCCCCTGTACAATTTTCTAAATCTCACTGCCAGTTTACATACATTCATACACAAAATTKAATAGATTTGTTTTGATATTGCTTTTTWAATCTTTAGAAACCGGGTTGCCCAATTAAGATAATTAAAAATATTCATTTGAAACCAAATATCAGAAGTCTACCTCATATCTGACATCATCCACTGACAGAAATGAGGAACACCTGTTCATGTGGAATGAAGCAGTTCTAGGGGGGTCCAGCGGAACTCTCCCCTGGAAAAATTAGTAAAATATCTACTCAAAACTACACYTTTTCCAGCCATTTGAAGAACATGTTACTGAATTCTTGGGATTAATAAAACAACATAAAATCAGTATTTTATGAAGAACAGAAAAAAAAACCTGAACTTAAACTGAATTTTATTTTAGCTCCTGGTCCTCAAGGACCGCAGTCCTGCATGTTTTACTTTTTTCCCTGCTCCAACACACCTGATTCAGTCCTTGAATTACCTCTTCCAAGTTCTGCAGAAGCCTGATAATCACCCATTCAGTCAAATCAGGTGTGTTGGAGCAGAGGAACAAGTAAAACATGCAGGGCTGCGGCCCTCAAMGACCAGGATTGCCCACCCCCATCTTAGATCATAACTGAAACTTCCATTATCCTGATTTAGTTTTCTATTTACACACTGAGAAACACYAGTTAGATCTGACTGCATCAAATMATACTTTTAACACAAAATATCSTCCGCATCACATAACACCTTGAGTAGGAACAAAGCAGCTGAGAAATCCACAGTTAGTGGGTTACCTTCATAAACTTGATTAATCATTGATTATTCTACAGTCTTAACCAACTATACTCTGATAAAAAAAGTTATAAAACATGTTTTTCATCTACCGTTTGTGGCGCCACCTAGATGTACGACACCCTTAGCATTTGCCTACACTGCCTATGCCACGGGCCGGCTCCGAGTATCTGTTATGAAAACACTACCGGGCCTCACACTCTGCCAGACGAGACATCTTTGTGTGTAACAGTCAATAAAGAGATGTGACAAGTGTAAACAGTGTGCAGGTGAACATTGTGTTGTGGTCTGGGAAAAGCCTCAGATTCTGAGCTTGTTTTTGGTTTGAAAGTGTCTGCAGACYAGTGGTAACAAAACACATGCTCTTCCAGACTCGTGTGACGGAGTCAAATGCAGCGCCGACAAGATCTGCAAGATGAAGATGGGAAGGCCACAGTGTGTGTGCGCTCCGGACTGCTCGCACATTTCCAAGAAGCARGCCGTGTGCGGCAGCGATGGCAGGTCTTACAAGGACCAGTGCGCCCTGCTGATGGCCCGCTGTGTGGGACATCCAGACTTGGAAGTCATGTACCAGGGAGAATGCAAAAGTAGGCAGATATCCAATTTTTTTTTTTTTTGTATCTTTGCAAACAGAGCAAGTGTGTTATTAATGTGCCTCTTTTTGCCTTTTACAGAGTCGTGCTCAAATGTGGTGTGCCCGGGAACTCACACCTGCGTGACGGATCAGACCAACAGTGCTCACTGTGTCATGTGCCGGACTACACCCTGCCCAGCGCCCATACCGTCCGAGCAGCTGATCTGTGGAAATGACAACATCACCTACCAGAGTGCCTGCCACCTGCGCAGGGCCACCTGCTTCCTCGGACGCTCCATAGGCGTCCGTCACTACGGCCACTGCAACTGTAAGACCAACAACCCCTGATAACCAATCTCGTCTTTTCAAGTTTTTACTCAAAGCCACATAAACGTGAATGTTTTACTCTTATTTATTTATTTATTTATTTATTTATTTATTTATTTATTCATTCATTTATTTTTTTGCAGATCCACCTCGGAAATCTCACAAATTCCAAGGCAGTGAGGAAAACGCTGTGTAAGAAAGACTCCGTCCTTCCAGGCAGAAGCTGTGTCTCGATTCAGGGGTAACAGCCCGCGTAGGGTTTGGCCTGCGTGGGCCGTAGGCCGTCCGTGTAGGCTGCATAAAACAGCTGTGAAAGGAGACGGTCCAGTCTTCGGAAGATGTGTGTTTGCGTGACCATCCGCTACCCTGTTACCATGGTGCRACMTTTTATARATGCCTYCAGTTAGAACATGTTTCACARGACTTTTCACTGGAGGTATAACTTCCTACAATTCAGTYTTATTAAAAATGTTATAAATAAAAACCATTAATAATTTGAGTTTAACTAATCAGCTAATTTGCTAACATAGATTCTAATTCTTCACTCCGCAACAAATTTCCAAACTCCGCCTTAAAAGAAAACTACTCAATCTTTGTTTTTCTCTTTAGTTTGATGACGGTGATATGAATCCTAGGATGTTGTCAGCTGTGTAGGATATTTAGAAGCAGCTTACATTTTTGGGGTTTCATGCGTCAACCCCTTTGGTCATTTACCTGTACACTGACCTACAAAAATCAATATTTTCCACAAAAAGTATTCTCGCATGGCATAGAAAAAAATCAGTGAGATTTCTTTATCCGTTGGTATACATGCAAAATGGGGGGAAATGCATGTTATTTACAGTCAATCTGTCCACCTTGACGTTTATAGGGTTTTGTCGGCCACATGAGTAGGCGCCTACGGATTGGGACAGCCTGCGGCGCGACGCGGTGACATAAACGGCCAACAAATGCGCCCTTCGTGGGCTGCTGCCCCTGAGTTGAGACACGGCCAGAGTCCTCCAGCAACATCTGAGCTGAACAACCACCTTTTCACACATCCCATATCTCATCGTGACTCTTTATTTTGACAATCACTTCTTCTCCTTGTGCACAAAGAAAAGGACGTTACATTTGAAATGAAACACCTCTGTTGGAAAACACGCACACTAGCATTATTGCCTCATAACAATAAAGAAATAAATCAAACGGATTAGCCGTGTTTCAGTGGAGGCAGGTAAATGCATGTGTCTTTGGGAGATGTGTGCATTGTTGTAAATAGAATGCTATTTATTGGAGAAGGTATAAAACTCTATTTATGTTTTATCTTTTCATCCCATCAACAAACTCATTAATCATTTGGAAAGCTGACACAACATGTATAAATATATATTTATTTTCTTTTCATTCATTGTATGCTAGCGTTCGCTGGCACTTTCCCCCCATATTTATAGCCTCCCGTTGCCCACAAATAGACGAGAGTTTGAATGAAAAGAATTTTAATATGTTTGGAACAATAAAACCCACCCACAATATTTTTATTTGAGAATTTGGTCCAAAGTCTCGACCACCTGCTGATTACTGAAATGAGCTGCTTCAGAAAAGCACTTGGAACAACCTCAAGCCTTATAACATTCCTCCTGCAAGCTGTTGTTTAATAAGGTTTTTTTTCATAACCACTGCAAATTTGTTCACATGCTGCTTTGATTTGATTCATTTTCTTCGTTGTATAAGCTTACCTGACAAAAACCAATGGCACAAGCACCATGTGACTTGGAAAACTCCACTTTTCCGAGAATGCTCTGGATTTGGGGCCACTTCAACGTACCTGCTGGAGTCCTGAGAAATGAGCCCGTCTGCTGTTGATGCTGGTAAACCTGCTTAGGTCCACGCAAACCTGATCCAGTTAAACCTTCAGGTGGACAAACGCTTTAGTTTGTGTAGTGTATTATGAAATATTTTCATTATTCCTCTGTAAATAGCAACCCTTTGTGTACCAACCAGTGTATGTACTGTGAAATCTGGATGAGAAATGCGTTAACATATTTTTTTGTATTTTTTATACTGCTATTTCAAATCAACATAAAGCTTGTGATTTGTCAAAATGTCTCCTCTTTCTTGTGGAAATTTTGGCATTGTGCCTGTTTAGTTTGCATCTGTTGAACTACGTATTTTGGATTAGATATATAATGTTTCTGCAATAATCCTAAGTTTCTATGAGAACCAGATCAGTGTAGCACCTTGAGGATTTGCTAGCGTGTGCGTGCGGTGGTTGAACCGCCTCTCCTGTGCGTGCAGTGGCTTCACGCGAGAGGCTGTGGAGAATCAAATCCAGACTGGGAAGCTTTCCTCTGTTTCCTCAGGGGTATCCCCCTGCTCTGGGTTAAACATAAGGGGTCAGCAGGACAGCGACTGACAGAGCTGAGGAATGAATGTTTCAAAGAGCAGAGGCCTGGGCACTGATTCACTTTCCTGTGTATAGTACCTCCCTTGTTTTTCTCTCTTCCCTCTCCCCTTCCACTCAATCCTGCACTCGGCCTTCTCAGCAGCATCTGGTTCAGCTTTAGGGAGATGTTTATGTTCCTGTCCAAGTACCCTTTTATTACACTGGGAATGGAATTAGATGTTTTGTTAGACTGAACGGCACAAAGAAACAATGCCAGTGAGAAGTTGTTCCCATGTATAAAAACACAGGAAGCTAKCTTGTTCAGAAATGTTTTTCTCATGAATGATGGGAGAAAGTTGCTGAGGACATTCAGTGACAGCACGGGCACAAAAACATGGTCATCAAGCAGGCAGAGGGGATCAGATTTAGTTGATCACTTTTAACAGAAAAGGCATTGCAAACACATTTTTTAAATCTTAAATTTTGCCTCCTGATGTATTGTTGCAACATATGAAACCAGTTACTCTCACATCCTTGCCATCTATAAATTCTTGCCTGATTCACACAGTAAACTCCCAAACCATTGTTTTGGATTATTTTTGGTCCTGGTTGAAAGTATTACAAATGCACAGGCATTAGCAATGAACACCCTCTGAAATAAGGTATTTGCCTTACTTTGAGGTGCATTTGTTTAAAAAAAACTGTTGTCTTTCAGTAAAATGCAAGTTGAAGCAACAGATTTGGATTGTTAATTTAGAAAAAAAAACATGCTGCATATATAAATTAAAATCCAATGTGCTGGTGTCATTTGGACTGTGAATCACCTTTACCAAGAACAACTTGTTTGTTAAAGTGGTGTTATGTTTTTTTATATTACATAGTTCAATTATATACAACAATCAACAATACCTTCAGTTGTTATGAAAATACTGTATACATCAAAAATCAATCTGACTTTGCATCATAGTCTAAACCAATGTTTCCCAAAGTTGGGGTTGGGACCCAAAGTGGGGTCCCAAAACATCAAGGTGGGGTCCTGAAAAGATTTTCTGAATTAATTACATTTTTGCCTWAGTTGTTACAAAGGAGTYAGGTTAGTATATTTAAAATGGATAAATGTAGTATAAAAAATATTGTTACTATGCCCATGTTTWGTTGACCTGATACAAATGTTTATCATCCAAAAATATCTGGAGGCACAGGCCTCTGCTACTGTTATTTTGTGGGTCAAAAGCTGAAAAGTTTGGGAACCACTGCACTTTGGTTCCCAAAGTTGAGCTTGGGACCAAATTATGGGTCATGAAGCACCTTGGATAATCTCCAGAAATTAATTTAAAGGGTAATAAAATAATTGCTGATGTAATATTTTCCCTATAATTATTACAAAAACACAAAATAAGTATAAATAAGTATTTACTGTATATTTGTGTACAAGCTGTTTAGATCGTCAAAAAGCCTGTGTTTTTAGGGTTATTAATGAAGTTCWTGTACTCAGACCAGTAATATTTGGGGTCACAAGTTTTTGCCATGGATATTTTGTGGGTCAGAAGATAAAAAGTTTGGGAACCACTGGTCTAAACGCCTTGAAATTGGCCTCTGTCTCTTTAAGAACCTCCTACCGTTTATGACACTTCCAATTCACCACGTCATCACAACAGTGATTCAGTGGAGGGGTGGTCTGTGGGGCGGGAGCTCTGCTGGGGACTGAGGTCCAGGGAGGGGCTAGGTACAACAAGGCGGAGCTTTGTACGAGCAAGCATTTTGGCAGCTCCGGTAGTGAAACCTGGAGGGGGGCGMGGTGTGAAGTGCCTCATWGGTATTTAAGGAGACAARACCAAATCTAGTTGATCTCAGACACACCTCAGAAAAGGGATGAAAGAMGGGCTTGTGGAYCTACAATAAGGAGGAATTCAGACCAAAGCATTGCAGTTCCACTTTATGTGGACCCCAACTGAATGATTTAAATATGAAAAGAAAGGATTTAAAAGCATGATATGTCCTCTTTAAACCATGGTGATAGCCACAGTAAAACATTATTGATTGTATCTTCTTTCAGTTTGTATCTTATTAAATTAGCAGCACACATTGTACTTTACAACCTCTGATAGTGAACATGTTGCTACAGTGTTTAAATGCACTGTACAGAATTTAATTGCTAATGGTTAGCTCAGTTACTGAGAACAWCTACTAGCAAATCCTGCTGATTTTCTATGTTGCAATTAGAATTTAGTAAAGRTCAAAGTGGTGCTATTCCCAGACCCAAGCTCAAAGTTCCAAGATAAACAGAATGCAGCGTAAGATTAACCTGATTCAGAAGCTAACAGTAGGCCGTCTTACTGTCTTAAAGCAACTTTAATCTCAAAAAATTTTGATGGGGGTTCATATGAGTACTATTTTATAAACATTRATTCTGATGTAAATTTTGTTTTCTATGGTTAATTTGTCAGAAATATAATATTCCTGTYGAAAGTCAGACTGTTGGCCATGGGGAAAGGAGGACAGGGAGGTGGCAAACACATTTTTATACAGCCTGGTGGATCTGACACTTAAATACATTTGAAGTAAATCTTTTYAAAAAATCCATTATTGCCCTATWTGTCTGTATACATGCAAAATGGGGGGAAATCTGTGTAATTTATTGACAATCTGTACAATCTGACATGTATGGACACCTGTATTAGCAGTTAGCGTGTTAATCCATTCAAAATAAACTATTTTTCTAAACTGACTCTCATGACTGGTGTCTGTGTTGATGTTTTTTTTTCCTAGTTTTCTGTCTTYTCATCTGTTTTCTTCCTCCTGTCTGCCTTTGCTCCAGCCCCGCCCACTCACACCTGATCCTCATGTTTCTCCCCCAGGTGTTTCCTGTTTGTGCTCATTAGTCTCACCTTTAAATTCTGTGTCTTGTCTTCACTTCCCTGTCGGATCGTTGTTCTGTATTTTGCTGTGTGTTCAATCTTTGTTTTGCCACAGCCAAGCCTTGTGAGTTTCTTGAGCTGCCCCATCAGCACTTTTTGTTTAAATAAGTTTAGTTTTTTTAAACTGCCTGTGCCATGGGTTCTTTCCTGCCTGAAAACCATGACACTAACACTGTTCTTAAAGCTATCTACAGCAGGTATTAGTTCATTGCCATTGTATTTTTAAAAATCTGAACTGATTTACTGTTAGGGGATCTGTAAACAAATTCTTTGATATCTGGCAGCCATTTTTATCTTACCTAGAAAAAAACTTCAACAGATGACTTTGTCTAATGGTCAAATAATGGTTCTTTGTACACAAACCTGTGTTTTGTATTTATAGATACATGAATACAAGATGTATTTATATTTATGTTTTGTTAGCGGATCCGGTATAGGTGGGGAGGGATGGGAGGGTTTTTTAGGGGTGTGTTTTTCTGTTGTTTTGTTTTTTGTTTGCGTTTTTTGTTAAAAAATAATAAAAAAAACTTTGAAAAAAAATCTGAACTAAGTGTTGTGTGCAGTAAAACGCAACAGCCTGACTCTGCACACCAAAGGTGGTAAAAGTACAACCTCAGACTCAATGTGAGCCATTTCAGAGATATTTTAATTACACTCCACGTCAAACCTCAGGAATTCTGTGCCCACCTTTCCCCATATTTCATAGATTTMTTTTTTCTACACGACATTTTTTGTGGTGAGTCCAACGAGGAAGAAGCCTTGTTTCCAACAGAAACGTGGTTGTGTGTGTGTGTGTTTGTACGCGTTGAGGGTGTAATTAAAGACGTGTCTCTGAAAGTGGAGCTCACCTGTTATGACCATGGAATCAGTCACAAGCATTACATCACAACCTCAGGTTGAGTTGTTTATATCCCTACAAACGCACAGGGCTGTAAAGTGACGCCCACGTTGAAATTTTAGGGGATGCATAATCGTCATGACAAGCTTCTTCCGCAACAACATCCACATGACATCGTTTCCTCCAACTTGCCGAGCTACTTCCAGTAAGTTACCAGCCAACGTTTCGCTCTGAAATGATGTTGTGATGAAACTAAGCACTGCAGACTGCTTTAGAGACCACCCAGTATCTGGATCCCGCCACTGGATTGTAAACAGCTCTGTCCCACAGCTGAAACTAATGGATATCAGATTCGTCACTCCCATCAGAATATGTTTCCTTTAGACCTTATTTGCCGGTGTTGCTATGTTACACAGCYAGCTTTTTAATTGTTCACAGGTGAATTAAATTTCATGTTTCAAAGCCCACACTTCAGATGGTGTTTGGTGGATTTCTCAGAAAGGCTTGGAATCTGAGGTGTGTCATAGATACAGTATGTGACTGATTAGAGGAAAGTCCGCTCTTTCAGAACCTCTGTTATGATGTTCAAAAATGGTGCAGTCAGTTTGTTATTTAAAAGTAATATCAACAGAAAAACTACTATGGGATGTCAACTGTAAAATAAAATGTTAAAAAATTCCCACTAACGTTTTATTGTTATTTAGCTCACTGTTCTTACATTTTGCTCATTTTTTACCAAATGTTAAAAAACACATGTAAATATTGGATTCTAAAGTTTTATGTGTAAATCAAAATCTAAAATGTGTCTAAAAGTGGAAGTTTACATTCAAGTATTTTGGAATGGAGCACAGCCTCTGCTGTTTGTGCCCACTCTTGTTTTGACATTTTCGTTCTGCGACAAAAACATCTGCTAACATTGCCAATGTTAACGGTGCTAACGCTTCCTTACAAAGACATCGAATT